TGCAAGAAAGGCCTTAGAATGATGGTGAGTTCAAATTCATGACAAGCAAAAAAATGAATTACTTAAATTAGAATTGACTTATAATTTATTACTAGTAATTTTCTTTTCCTAATTACCTATCCAATTTTGTCCTTTATATTTATTTTTTTTGTCATTTAGATAAATGGAGAACTCAGAGCTTCAAAAAACATATCAGATTATGAGCAAGATAAAAGACATTGGCTTTTATTCCAAAACATGGAAAACTTTACAGTTGAAGGTGTAGGCAGCATCGATGGCAATGGAGAAGTATGGTGGAAACACTCTTGCAAAATTGATAAAACAATTGTGAGTATTAATTACTGTATAAGAAATAAGTGTGTTTATTTTATTCAAGTCAAGTAATTAATATAGTATCATTTTTTTTTTCTCTATTTTCTGCAGCCATGCAATGCGAAAACACTAATAGCTCCAACTGTAAGTTTCAATATAATCCCACTTTTTCCACATATAAAAGGGTAATTTGGTGCACTAAGCTCTACTATACGCGGGCGGAGTCTGGAATCAGACCACTTTTTCCACCGTATATCAATAGCGTATATATTTAAAATTCAGCAATAAACATTACTAAACATATATATATATATATATATATATTCAATATTTGACAGGCTATGTTCTTTAACAATTGCACAAATGTGACAATAAGAAACTTAGAGTTGAAGAACCCACAGAAGATGCATTTGACAATTTCTAAAAGTGAGCATGTTGAGGTTTCAAGATTGAGACTTACAGCACCTGCTGATAGCCCCAACACTGATGGGATTCACGTTTCTGGGACTAAAGATATAGATATTCACCATTGTTATATTGAAACAGGTTTAAAAATAATTTTTAATTTTTCTGGGAAAATATTGTGCTTTAATTACTTGCTTCTTTTTTTAGTGATTTTGTAACTACTTATTAATTAATGGTTGAATATGTTATTTATGGTTAGGTGATGATTGTATATCAATAGTAAATGGTTCCACTAACGTTAGAGCAAGATATATACATTGTGGACCTGGCCATGGAATCAGGTAATATATGTAATGTATGCATGGTATAGAGAATTAATTAAGAAGTCCATATATATATATATGTGTGTACTTTGAAAATGTTGTTAAAACTAGTACTCATTTTTTTTTAGTGAAAAAGTACACTAGAAATTCAAAAATTAAAAATAAATACCCTAACAATTGGAGGTCAAAAAGGTAATCCAAATATCCAATATGCAACCCAAAGATAGAATTATTTATCCTTTTCAGTCCATTTAATTTTATTGAATGTTTTGTGATACTGACATATTTTTCCACCTCTAATTTACGTCCAAAAGTTTAAGAACTTCTTTTTAAAAGAAATAAAAGGAAAGTTCTATGTTCAATTGTATTTTTCTTTTTATGATACTAATTTTTGTGTCTTTTTTGTTTTAGTATTGGAAGCTTGGGAAAAAATAAAGAGGAGGATGCCGTTTCAAATATTTATGTACACGATGCCACCTTGAGGGGAACAACTAATGGATTAAGAATAAAGTCTTGGCAGGTATATGATTTGGTTTCCCACTGTTTATTAACTCTAATCTAATTAATTAATATAATAAGTCATTCAATATCATGTATTTTGAGTTCCTAACAAATTTTCACCACTTATCATTAAGCAACCACCTGGGAACTAAAACTGTAAATCTAAGTCCGGTTTTGTTGAAAAACTGGTTAATTAATAATGTTATTTACACCTCACTTTATCTTAATTATTCCTTTTGTTTTCAAGAGATGAAGTAGATTTATCTTTGATCTGAACGTATTAGTGTGTAACAGTTTCAGTAATTTTGTTTGTAATGGTTGACAAAACCCTATCCTCTTACTTTATTACTTAACCATGGTTAATTAATACTCTCCGTCCCAATTTACGTGTCGGTACTATTTGTATTTCGAAAGTCAAATAAATTATTCTTTAACTGCAATTTTTTTAATTATATATTTTTTAAATATTTTGAATTATTAATTATTGTGATTTATAATACTTTTTATGTAGTTTCTAAATATGTAAATTTTATTTTGAAAAACTTATATATTTCATATTCAAATGCAAGATCAAAATTAAGACGTTTGAATCTCGAAAAGCAAAAAATATCATATAAATTGGGACAAAGAGAGTATGATTTTACAAATACCCGATATAAGTAAGTCTATCATATTCATATTATGAAAATTTTCTGTTATTTTAATATGCTTATATACTGATAAATATGCAATAACTTTTTTTTCTAATTGTCTAATTCTAAAAGGGAGGACGTGGATATGCAAAAAACATTCTTTTTCAAGACATAGATATGGTGAATGTGACCAACCCCATAATCATAGATCAATATTACTGTGACCAAGAAAAACCATGCAAAGAGCAGGTAATTAATTAAGTCATGTGACTCATGTCAAATTTCTTTTTACAACAAGCGGTAATATTTATATTTTTCTTTTGTTTTCTTTTTTCCTTTTTTTAAATTTTCCAGAAAGAAGCAGTGCATGTGAGTAATATAATGTACAAAAATATTAAGGGAACGAGTTCTACGCATACTGCAATTAAATTAAACTGCAGCAAAACTGTTCCATGCCAAGGGATACAAATGGAAAATGTGAACATACGTTACCAAGAAGGTTCAACTGTCAAAGCTTTATGTGCAAACGTCAAATACACAACAAAAGGGATAATTTCCCCAAAATGCCCTTCTGAGCACCCGCTAGCATTTTTATGGAATTAATTATTTTTTCCTTTGTACATCATCCCTTTATTTCATTGCTACAACTCCTTTCGTCATTTGTCCAATGGAAAAGGAAGTGCAATTTTAGAATCATGTTGTTTAGGAATTATAACTGATACTGTATTATGTATTCCTCAGTGTAAGTTAGTGTTGTGAAAGATCTTTTTTTTTTCCTCCTATATAATGTATTTAATTATTAATGTTTTCCTTGAGTGGGGTAAAGAGCTAAATAAGGAATGTGTTTGCTTTATTGAAGGAAATTTATTCGGAAAGAAACTGCAATTTTTATAAATCAACCAAACATTGCCTTGGTCTAGTCGGTTAGGATACTCGGCTCTCACCCGAGAGACCTGGGTTGGCAACGGAATTTTTTCAACTTTTTTTAAGATAAATAAAGCTGCCATCCTTCTGTCAGCTAGCTCATTAAGAACCCGATGGTTAAGGAGAAAAAACTTACTTTAGAAGTTACTCAATAAATAGGAGAAAAGCTAGCATGGACAACTCTTTAACAGAGGAAATTATGAACCCGTTTCGTTTAGCTGATTTAGAATAGTTGATGAGCATTAGGTGCTGAAAAGCACTTTTAAAGGCTGAAACTGATTTAAAAAATAAACAGTTACGTGTTTGGATAGAAGTGCTGAAATTAATAATAAGTAGCTGAAGAACTGGGTATACAAAGATTTTTGTTTTAAAAAGAAGTATTTTAGGGATAGAATAGTAAATATTTTGGTCAAACTTAAAGTGATTATAAGCTGAAATTTGATAAGTTGGGGAGACCAACTTATGGCTTATGGCTTTTGGCTTATTTTTGGCTTATAAGCACTTTTAATTTTACCAAACACGTAGATAAGCCAAAAAGTGCTTATAAGCCAGTTTGACCAGCTTATAAGCTTAGCCAAACACCCTCTATATTTATTTTACGTGAATTAGTATTATTATTGTTAGTGCATTTGCTATTTGCTATTTGAAGTTAGCGATTTTAGTAATGGGCGGCCAAAACTGTTTCAAATAGTTTCTTTTGTATTACCATGTTACAAATTCCACCACTTTGACACTTTCAATTATTTGACACTCACACACTACTATTATCTTTTAATCACAAAAAAAAAATGAAAAAGTGTTAAACCAAGAAGCAACCTCAAAGTCAAAGTTCCTTGAAAAGTGGAACCTACGATTTCAAGTAAATGTTGTTACAACAATTATAAAAATTTCAGACTAAAATAATACTTCCATCGTCTTAGCTCAAAATAATTACTATCATTTTAACAGGACTAAATTTATTAGTTATTAGTTCTTCGAATTTTACAATTACCAAACCAAACCAATAAAACTCAGGTTTTTCAATCTCGAGTTTTTTCGGAATTTTTTCCGGTAAAATTTTTGTAGAACAAAACATATAACTTGTGCTCAAAATATTTCTATAATTCTAGTAAGATACAACTATATAAAGTATTTTCCAAGAAAATAATACAAATATGAGACGTATCATGGCATTATCCTAAAATATTCAACAATAAAGACAATAAAATTATGTAATATAAATATTGTTAATTAAAAAGACATAATAAAAATAAACATAATCTAAAAGTACTAAGTCATGCTAAAATAAGTAGACTAATAAGGGAGTATTAATTACATGATTAAACACTAAAGAAAAAATAAAAATAAGTTATACATTTTTATCTAAATTATTGCAAAACAAAAAATAGATATTCAATATGTTCCCGTTCGTAGTATTGAATTGAATGTCTTTTGTTAGCATTAGTATTGATTTGATTTTAGTTTGGGCTTTTATTAGCATTATTTAATTTACTAATATTAATGGCTATAAAACTTATTGAAACATTCAAAAGTTCTAAGTCCAACCTTGAAATAATACCTTAAAAGATAAAATTATGAAAATTTTTAAGAAATATTTTTAAATTACATCACAATAAATATATTTATATATTAAATATATCTAAAATTTCTATAGATGTAATATCGGGTTGGTTTGGTTTCGGTTTGACTTTCTTTAGTTAAAACTAAACCAAACCAATTATGGTTAAGTTTTTTTTTCCAACACTAAACCAAATCAAATCAAACCATAGTTGAATTTTTTTCCTCGGTTTGATTCAGATTATCAGGTTGGTACGGCTTGTCGGTTTTCTCTGTACAACCCTACATCAGACAAACAAGTTGCGTTAGTTTAAAACAAATAAGACTATAGTTACTGTACCGAATATAAATGAACAAGATGTGTCATTCCAAGAATCTAATGTCATCAAGACGTACAGTTCAGTGGGGATTCTTTCAATTTACACAATAGATATGACTTTGATCCTCATTGTTCCTTTCCATTTCTCTATATTAATATAAAAAGAAAATTAGGAAAATATGTCAGTAGCACCTGTTTCCACTTCATAGCAGCAGTGAGTTCACTTTTACAAGCCATGTAGCTGGTTACATTGGAGAGAGTTGGTCTCCCCCCAAAAAATGAGGCAATTAGAATACATAATATTGAAAGAAAGAATACATTCTCGGTGGATACGAACTCAAAGGGGGAAAACCATGTATATTTAAGCATATAGTAATTCTTCTTCATTAACTGTGTATGGAGGAGGCAACAAACTCTTCGCCTTGCTGAATTTATCCGTACTACCAGATGGTACTTCTGTAATAGGGGAATCAAGGACCCAGTCTGGAATTGCCACCAATGTCTCCTCAAAAAGGGATTTAATTGTCTACAAGGTTTAAAATCAGTTTAAAAAGGAACGGAAAGGTATGGACAACATAAGAAATATAACTTTAAACGCATAAATTGATATATGCAAATGTTTACAGCTGAGCTGCCAGCAACTAACAAAATTTAACAGAGCTTGTTCCTGGATGGCCGTATAGGCACATCAAACATCTTTTGTCATTCTTGCATTCAGAGATGAATGTGCTTGAAATGCATGTGAATGACACCTTTCCTAGAATAGCTATTTCCACGAATTATAGTGCCAAATCAGTATGTAGCCATTCTACCTTGTAGTGCTTCATAATTGGTGCAACATCTTTATACCATTTTCACATCTTCCCATTGTTATTTTATTATGTCTACCATAAAGAGATATTACAACTCATCCAAACTATTTTCTCTAAACTACGTAAAGTCCAATTCATGTCGGAAAAACATAGAGAGTCAGAAACTTCAGCGATTATCATTAGAAGGGAACAAAATATCATACTAGGTGAGAGAAATCATTGCACCACAGCTAGAAGATGGCAATAGAAAGAGCATTTTCTAGTGGCATGAAGAGGACTCTTTCAACCACTATGAACAAGAATGGCCGGTAAATAGAAAGCATTTTCCACTGTCATGACTATTAAAGAGAGCACTTCCAAATATCATAATTCAGTCAATAATGACATACCGTGCAGTGCTTGAAAGCAGCATCAACCTTACGCTTCCATGGACCATTTCCAGGATTTGCATGAAATAGACCGAGCAGAGGCTGTACAGGGAAAAGTTAAATGATTACGGCTGTAAAATATTTTCAGAGACAAAGCCCTCATAAAATGCTAAATTAAGCAAACAACAGATTTTATTACTGCAGTATATAGAATATAGCAGAGTACTATGGTGATAGCAATTATGCGGGAAACAAGCCAAACCATGCATCAGTAGACTGACAATGTCCAGGACAAAAGAAAACTTGCTTACTAAAGCTTTTAAAAGAAGTGTGTCTATGCTTGTGAAACTCAATGCAGTATATAGAATATGGTAGAAAACTATGATGACAGAGCAATTATGAGGGAACCAAGCCAAGCCAAGCCATGCATCAGTAGACTGACAATGTCCAGGACAAAAGAAAACTCGCTTGCTAAAGCTTTTAAAAAAATGTGTTTATGCTTGCGAAACTCCAGACACAGCTAAAGTTAACAGCTCGAAAGGATAAAATGAAGAGTGAGCCTACCTTGACAACATCCCGCATGCTTGGCTTAAGCCCCCCATACATTCCAACGACTGAATCACCATAGACCTGATATTGTTCAAGAACCTGCTCCCATGAAGATAAGAGTAATAAAGACCCATATGCTATTTAAGTAGGAAGATGTCACCCAAAAAACAAAAACAAAAAACTAGAATGCAGATGGCAATGAGAACCTGGCGCCGGGTTATGCTACGGAGAGGTGCACCATATACAGCGCTGTCAACAAGTCCCAGAATCTGCCATGGACTGTCAAAAGCATGAGTTGTCTTAACATGCCGAGAAAACGAGAAATAAACATTTTAGAAGTCAAGGTTAGCAGTTACAGTTTCAAAACGTCTGATGGGGTTTGTCATTCTGCTTTACTGAACTAAAAACTAGAATCAGAATCACAACATCGACCCACCGAACCAACAAATCACCAATGCAATTACAAGCACAAGATCTCTACTTTATCACGTGATGTCCACTAATCAATTACTGTTGACATTTTTCACATATTCCCCTACAGGGGATAAAAGGTTGCTCTTCTTTTTCCCAACCCAACATTACAAAGATCAAAAGCTTCTACTTGCCAAGAATCCATCTTTCCCATGGATCCACGCTAACAAGTTTATCCAGACAGAATAGCTTAAAACTATTAATTTGTACAGTTCACAGCATATTTACAACTTTACGGATTCACGTGTTGTAAAAGCCGCCTTTCAAATAACTATCACCTTTCATTGAAACAAAAAAAAAAAACAGTAGGCATAGTCTCTCAAGTTCTCCAGAGACCAATTTTTATTTTTATTTTGCAATTTAATGCTTAGCTCAAACTTGCAATTTTCAACTTGCAAGATCTACAAGGACATTACAGGAGAATATGACAAACCTACAGAATCCATAAAACATCAATATTTGGGAGGTCATACTCAGGTGTCAAGTAGTAGATAAATGAGACTAGTTGTAATAGTGTAAAACAAATATGCAGACATCTAGGGTATGCAGACATCTAGGGATGATACAAATATGTAGACATCTATCAAACGAACAAAGCCACAATAATATCTCGACAAATTATTGAAACAGTGACAAGTATTGACACTTTTCATACTTGCTGTAAGCTGCACGTCCCAGCATAACCCCATGAGCTCCTTCTGTACGTGCCTCATTAACCTAAAAATGAAATAACCAGAAAAAGGGTAAAGTAATACCAGATAGAAATCCTATGTGCAAATATGAAGTTTGACAAAGCTTACGCACCAATGTGCAAGAAAGATTACAAACCATTTTACTTGAGAAGTTCTCGGCAAGAATTCCCAAGTGCAAGAAAGACTAAAAACCATTTACTTTTAAAGTTCTCAGCAAGAATTCCCAAGCCTAAATTGGCACAAGATTGGGCCCCTGAATCATTCGTGGGCATAATTAAGGGTGTATTGTGGGCCGGGCCCAGCTCGGAACCGTGGGCCAAATGGGCCAAACGGGCCAGTTCAAATGGGTTGGTCTCTAGCGGTTCAAAAGCCCACAGTGGGCCGGTCCTTGCCAAAAAGCCCGCGATCCCGGGACCGGCAGGTGGGCCTGGGCCGGTTCAACCGGGCCTAACGGCTAATTTTAAAAAAAAAAAAAATTTAAAAAAGGGCCAACGGTCAGAATTTAAAATGTAGCCGTTGGACTGCATTTTAGCCGTTTGGCACTTTCAAAAATAGCCATTTGGCCCCCAAACTTTGTTTTAACCCCAAACTTTTTATAATTACACTTTTTCCCTATTCTCAACTATAAATACTCCCTCGTTCTTTCATTTTTACTCACAAATTCATCAATCTCTCTCTAATTTTCTTCTATAATTGCTTACTTTATTATTGCAATTTCGTGAAAAATTGTGAAGTTGGTGAATTGAAGTATTCAAGTCTTCAAGTCTTCAACGATATTCAACTTTCAAGAAGTTGTTCGTCAATTCGGTAAACTCGTTCCAACTCTTAAGTTTTAATATTATAGTTTTGTTTGTTTTATTTAGTATAATTATAATTAATATGGACTTTTCTTTGAAAAAAATATTTGGGGGTAAGGGTAAGGGAAAATCTAAAATTGGTGAATCTAGTAGCCAAGCTACTACTCTTCCCCCGGCTCCCCGACCCAGACCTGTTACCCGTCTTCCTCCACCTGTTATTCTTGATAGTGATAACCCTTGTTTTCAATTTTCCGATAGTCAATTTTGCCATGATGTTGTACCAGGTCAACAATTAAATGAAGAAGTTATGAATGCTCTTTATCCTAATCAAACTATCTTTGAAAATGTAGAGGAAAATGATGATTTAGATGAAACGCAACCGAATTTAGATGATACACCTACTAGTCCTGTTAATAACTCAACTAATGCCCCGCCTGACCCTCCTGTAGTAACCCCTACTTTTAATAGACAACCTTCTAAACGGCCCGAAACATCTCTTGTTTGGCATTTTTTTACTCAACTAAGAGAACAAAATAAGGCTAAGTGTAAAACTTGTGGGTCTTTGATGGCTCATAAATTTACTGGAGACCCCTACTTTTCATATATATATATATATAGATAGATATATTATAGATATAGATATAGTATATATAATATATATAAGCTATATTATATAAGGCAATATATAAGTATATATACATACTATATATACTATATATAAATATATAGCTACATATAAATATATAGCTATATATAAATATACAGCTATATATAAGCAATTTATATTAGTATATACATATATAGTTAACAAGAAATTGCTTAGATAAAAAAAAATTCAAAAAAATAGCCCGGAACGAAAAAGCCCGTTTAAGCCCGTGGGCCCGGCCCATTTAGCCCAGGACCATGTGGGCTTAGGACCACAGTGGGCTGGTCCCACCCATTTGGATCATTAGGCCCGAGATCGTTTGGCCCGGGACCGAAAGCCGGGACTGTTTGGCCCGTTTAGGCCCGGGCCCGGACCACAATACAGCTTAGGCATAATATCTAGACTTTTGCCTTTAGAAAGATCATACAAATGCATCTCTTTATAACTTTTATTTTTGACAGGTTATTTTTCACAGGAAGAAGTTTATCAAGAGAATATCATAGTTTTCTTTATAGATGCTACGGAACTATAAGACCAGCAAGTTTAGGTATTTTAAATGGATCAGTATCCTGCACTCTGTCAAGACAAATCCATCCTAATGAAGCTTATTTTGCTCAAAATAAAGGAATTAATCCTGACGACAGTCTAGGGAGTAGGGATAGTGGAGAACTTATTTTTTCAGCACATCTGATTTTACCATTTTAACAACATTTTCACAAACTAGTACATGTTAACTCTGTTTTAGTTTGAGACACTTACCTCCTCAATAGAATTTATGCCTCCATTTATCGTAAATTGTAGATCCGGGAAATCACGCAAGAGGGCATAGTAGTACTCATACCTGTCAATGCCCAACTTAGGTAGTCATTAGGAACAATCATTAAGATCTTTATTTTTCAGTGATTCAGATCAATTATTAAGATCTAAAGATAGGCATGTAGTAGTTCAGTGTCTTGGCTACAAATACACCAGTAAATGATTAAGTAGGGATATATAATTTCACTTGTTTCATTGTCATAAATCCTTGTTGGATTACTAAGCTATTGCAAACTGCATACTTGAGCGGGGGAATTTTTCGATTATCTGCTGGGCTGATTCCATTCAGTAATGCTTTCCGGGAATGTATAATAAAATGCCGAGTTGGTGACTGAGAAGAAACCTTGTAAATAAAATCACCTGTACACATGAAAGCGAAAAGTTAATTTTTTCTATTTTATGGAGAAGATAGCAGCACTATTTACCACCCCAACTGGTGGAACTAACCCATGTTAACTGATTAGGGTAAGACTCATTTGGAAGGTTAATCAGTTAACAGACAACACTTTTCACATTATTCTCTTTCTTTTTTTCCTTTCTAATAGATCTGTTTCGACAAAAATGACGCAGTCATCGTAGTTAGCCCTAGTGCATACAAAAATAAAAAACATCTTAACTAGCAACCGTAGATAAATATGGAAAATATGCATGAGATTCAAGTACTCAGTCAAATTAAATATGCAACTTGCTAGGACTTGGCAAATTATGTAAGAATACCAACAAAGGGGGCATGTAACACCCAAAATATTATATATATATATATATATATAACATGCAAGAAGCAAAAATGCCTAATTCTGTGGCATCTACTTATAGAACATGAACTTTGTATCTGTATCATCTAGCTGATAATGATCAAAACTCTAACTTAAATCGTCTAGTTGATAATGCATGATATGCCTAATGGGTTATATATACTAAGAGGGGGAAATTTGGAGTTCTGTTCATGCCAAACTATGTATAGCTACCAGCTAACCTAATTGAGAAAGTTCTGGCTAGGAACTCTTTTGGATAAGGCAAAGGCGTATATTATACCCTATGTAGCATTTTTTTTCAAAAGCATAAGCCCTTGTAGAGACAAACCAGCACTTCTTCACTTAACTTATGATATCTAGTTCTATTTCTTACTACCTCTGCTACAAAAAGATTAGCACTATTTCCTTATTAGTCTGTTTCAAAAAGATTGGCACCTTCCAATATTTCCTTAATAAGAATCATTTATAGCCACACAAATGCTACGGCAGGTTTCAGACCACAAGTTTCAAAAATTTTACAGCCACACAAACGTTATGGCTTATTTAAGACCACATATCTCAAACAGTATTTCCTTCTTTATTAAAGTTTGTGCCAAGTCAAACTAAGACAATCATTTTAAAACGGAGGGAGTATATGTCTGATGACACATCAGATCGAGCATGGAGAGAGGAACGGTTAAGTAACTTGCATCAACGAGTGTGCAAGTATAGAGGTGCTCTCCAGTCTCCACAAACCTACAAAAACATTATGCTCAAAGGGAACAAAAGGAGGATGTGAAATATAGCCACCTCAAGTGTAACATGCTTCTGCTCCAAGTTAAGTGGTCACACAATTTGCTGCTAGTTCATATTTACAAGTTATTGTCAGCTTTCTAAGATCTACTCGAAAGTCCAAGCAGCTACAAGGACAGCAAAGAGCTGCTTGGAAGTATATTATGGACAAACTAAAAGAGCTAAATTTTGATGATTTTCTTGAAGCAAGGTCGGAGCATTAAACAAACATGCTGGAGACATAACCAACAATACAAGAGAAAGGAACAACAAGTAAATTCAAAAGATTGAGATTGACGAATTAAGTTTTGATTCTCATTTCCCGTAAGTGATTGAAAGTTGAAGAGCTCACATAGTTCGTTGTATGAGTCGTGGTCATCAACTCCAATTCTGCATTTCACGCTCACGGGAACATTTGTATTTGCAGCAATTACGCACATGGCCTCAGCAACAAACTTTCCTTGCAAAAGTTATGCATATGTCAGAGCAACTTTACATAAAAATAACGATTCTGATGTATCAAGCAAACAAATATGAACCTTTGGATCAAGCATGAGTCGCACACCAAAACACCCATGTCCAGCTACTTTAGGGCTAGGACATCCGCAACTGTTAGATAATAGAGAAAAAGTATCAGTTATGGGTCTGAATAAAAGCTAGAAACTTGTACCATAGAGAGGAAAGCAGAACGAACTTAAAATTAATTTCATCATAGCCATAAGGAGCTGCCAGTTGTGTCGCTTTGGCCAAGTTCTCCAAATTATTTCCCCCGATTTGAAGCACTATCGGATGTTGCTCAGGGCCATATGCCAAGAACCTATCCTGATATATAAAAAATCACATAAATGTCAGATCTCGCTGGCCGATAGAAACACACAAGCATTAGTCAGTGACAAGCTTCTCTTAGAGGTCCAGGAAATAACCTATCAATACAAGAAAGCTCTTTTACGGGATCTACCTAGGTTCCAAAAATATAATCATCTAGGTCTCCTCCTTTCCCACGTATTTTACACCAAAAAAATAAAGATACTTTTCTACATGACCGTCTAACTGGGACAAGAGTCCTACTTTAAAGAAAGGCAAATGACCAACCAGCTTGGTTAACTTGACCCTCGAAACACAACCCAATTTTTTTTTTACAGCAATTGAAAAAATAACAGTCCAATTCATTGATTTAGTAATCAGATACAAGTGTCAGGCACCATCTATAAAAACAATAATTGTAAGCTTCTCTTTGTTGATGGTCAGTTTACATCATGTAGAAAGTAAGTATAAACCCACAGGGACATACTTCCACTATTTCCTTCTTATCCTGAAAATTGGGGCTGGCAGCCAGAGGGTCAAGATTACAGAAAACGACTTTTGACTATTTCATTGTCTCTAGACTTGAAACAAATGGATAAAATAAAACTATTGAATACTTTAATTTATGCACACTTGGTAAAAAAATTAACCTGAAAATCTTATGCTAGTTTGAATCCCAGTGATTTTGAGCCTTTACTTGCTACCACATGCACATGTGCTTAGGATTAAAGCATAGTTGTTAGTATACTTAATATAGCACTGTCCCAAGTCATGTAGCCTGCCAAATGCTAACTGATAACAAAAACTCGGGCAGAGGGAGTGCCCCAAACTCGGTTACTCTTCTTTTAACTTTTGTCTGCAGCAGGGTTCAAACCCATGACGTCGCCTAACCCACATATCAGGCACAACGCTCTAACCACTAGACCAAAGCCACGGAGGCTGCAACAGTGCACACCTTTGGAAGGAAATTTGGAAGAATGGTAAACGTTCTCCTCTTTCTCATTTCTTTTTGTCTAGAACAAGAACAAAGGATTCTTGATTGTAAAAATATCATGCCTGATTCTTTGAAATGAAAAACGGAAAAGGGTCAAATATATCCTTGTACTACTGAAAATAGTTTAAATATACCCTTCGTTATACTATCGGATTATTTTAGACCCTACCGTTATACTATAAAACAAATATATCCTCATTTTGGACGAAACGCCACGTGGCTGCACAGGATTAAGTTGACCCATTTTCATTTTTTCTAACACGATTCACTTAAAAAAAACCACTATCCGACCCAAAGTTCACCCCCACTGCTTCTCTCTCTCCTCTTTTCCTCCACTCTTCTCTCTTGCATCACTGTAATGACCATGGCTGGAATCTCCATTAGCGAATTCGCCGGAAACCATGGAGAACCTTATGATTTGTCACCTCGCACCTTCTCTTCCCCTTTCTCTATACCTACACACACATTTATATATGAATCTAGAGAAATACATACAAGATGCCGGAGATCTGAAAGTTTTGGGTTTGAAATTTACTGGATCTGACCGGAAATACATTTTCCGGCGAGCCATTATTCTCTTTTTCATATGTTCTTTTTATTTACCAGATCCGGAAGGGAGACGAAATAATAGTTGAAACTCCGACCATGGAGTATGGTCGGAATCTTGCCGAAGAATTTTCTGCCGACCTTTGTGCACCATGTTTTCTCTCTGACCGCTGGTCCGGTGTCTAACGCCTTCGTAGCAGCGCCTCAGGCGACTTTTATTGCAACAACAGCAGCAGATTCGATTCAACTTGCTCATGGTGGTAACAAATTGAAGAAGTACAGTGGGAAACCTTTGACTTCTGAGAAGACTTCAAAAGTTTGTTTGACAAGAAAGTTTTTCAACATATACTTGCAGATTTGTATCATGGAATTTTACAATCAAATTTTTAAAAAAAAATTCTCAAATGAGATCAAATTTTTTCATAAATTCATCATTATTGCCCTCCTGTTTGTGAATTATTTTGATCAGTTGAATCATTTGTTTCCTGCGGGAGTATGATGTGGAAGCTTGACTTGATAGCAACTAAAATAATTGTGCTTCCTCTTATCACTAAAAATGAAAGAGGGATTATTTCTTTGGATCTGAAAATTTGCACCTAGAAAGAAGGTTTGGATGCTGTATCGTCTAAAGTGCTTATGTGGGTCTGTATGTTGGCAATGGTTCGATCTGTAAGGGGGTGGATTTTGGGTCGGATAGTGTTTTTTAAAAGTGAATCGGGTTAAAAAAGGGGAATGGGTCGATTTAATCATGTGCTGCCACGTGGGATTCCATCCAAAATGAGGGTATATCTGTTTCATAGTATAACGGTAGGGTCCGAAATGACCCGATAGTATAACGAAGGGTATATTTAAATTATTTTCAATAGTACAGGGATATATTTGACCCTTTTCCGAATGGAAAATGCCATGCCTGATTAGACACAATTACCTCATCCAACCTTGAATAACATTCATAAAAATTTGTGTAGTTGAAGCTACCATAACTCTCTTCTTTTTATTTAGTTCTAGCTAAGATAGAAACTTTAAAGTTGACTAGAGAAGCACTAGAGTCTCTTTCCATGGAGCAGAACTTTACCAAATAGCCAGCCTGGTAGACAATTGTTTCTGCAGCAAGCATTTCTGTGTAGAGCCATGCATGTTTTGAGATAAGACGGGCCAAAGTTCTGTAATGGTTATCTGTCAACTCCATCATGGGAGCAACACTGTTCAAGTACAAAGGCTTAAAAACATTAGGGCACTTTTATTTTTGGCTTTTAAACAAAGAAATATCAGGGAGCTTATTAACTACGTAAAGAGAGTAAATTAGACTTAAATATATGCACCTGAACCACGGAGGAGGATAGCGCTCTGCACCCATTAGAGAAGTAGAGTGGAGTTTGGACTTTTGATGATAAGCACACAATGTCCTTGTTTTGCTTGTACTTCCATAAAAGAAGTTTGATGACAATCTGCGACGGTTTTTTAGGATAACAGAATGAAAAGGAGTTAAAGAAGCAATCAAACAATGCCCCGTAGATTTCATCTTGCCTCTAAGTCGAGCGTAGGCTGCTCTTTTATGTACCTATCCATTGGATAGAAATTTCATCACACAAGGGGACATGCTTTATGCCATATAGATGCGCTTTCAAACATTAATATATAATTAATTGAATAAATAAAGACCTAAATCCACCCAGCTCAATATAAGCCAAAAATAATTTGGTTCATTAGTGTAACTGCTGAATCAACATTCTACATCATTCTGCACTTCATGCCGGAGGTACTATTGCTAAAAACGNCTTAAATAATGTTTTCATCATTTTAATATCTTAATCATATTCCAGATACCCAAAATCTCAGAACAAACAAAATTCTACACTGCAAAACTTTCCTCCCAAGTTTTAGCTCGTTTCCTTCTAACAATCTTTGACCAAAAAGAAAATAGTGCGAACTGAAGAGACAAACAGGAAAACTAAACATAAAAAGTAAGGCATAAGAACAATAATAAGAAAGAAGAATGTAAAAAGCGGAAGGTCGGATTTAGGGTTTTACATGGAAGTAGAGAGAAGGATACTTCTTGTCTTGAGGATTGAGGCGAACCTAGTGGCCGTCGGAGAAGACAAAACGTATATAAAGGATAGCTCAAAATGTAAAGGGAATGGCCTCTGTTTTTCCTTTGTTTCTTTTTCTTCCTTTTATTTAAGGGAAAAATAAAAAGCAATTATATTCAGTAAGTCACTTATAATTTATGATTAGAGTTAATAACTTAATATAATACTGGAAACAATTGGTTTTCCTACTCAGGGGTTAAAGTTGAAAAGAAGTTTCACTTTTGAGCAGAAATTAAGAAAATTTGAGTTTACATCAATAAATTATTAAGAAAAAGAAGCGCTTCTCACTTTAATGAATCCTAGCAATGTCAATATAGATTAATCTTGTCATGTATTCCAAATATTGTATGGTTATAAATATAATAATTGAAATTTTACAAAAAAAAAAAAAAAACTAACAGGGAAGGAAAAACAATTTTTAGGACATCCAAAATAAATTCTAGGTTTGCTAGGTTGATATATTTGAATGGAGATTTAATGTAGAAATTATACTACAAAATTCAGCAGTAACAATTTATACAGGAAACCCAGATTAGAGTGGTGTTCATTAGAAGCACAACCTTTAGGCATTTGTTCACTCTTTAGTTTTTAAATTTTGTTGCTTGAGACTAAAAAATCAGTTTCATGAATCACGACTACAAATTTAATTGATAAAATTTATATCTATATTATATTAAAAGGAGAGTAGTATGCATTGTGGTTAAGCCAAGTGTCAAGCTAAAATGAAACAACTTGGCAATTTTAGGATAACATTAATAACTAGAAATTATATATAGAAACATAATTAATGGAAGTAGTTTAATGAATCTTATACTAATCTAAATAGATCTTAGACAAATCTAATATATATATCTTTAATTAAAATTTATATGTATATTTGTATCTATATCTATATCTATATCTATAATTATATATTTATATTTATATATTGATCTACTCGTAGATTTTTTTCTATATTAGCTAGAAATATGGAGGTAAAAAATTAATTAAATCTATAATAGAAAAAAATAAAAATATATAAAGACGTAAATTGAGATAACCTATAACTATTTATACTTTGGAGTAAGTTAAAATATAAAATAAAACTAAAATTTACTTAAGATATTAAGGATTTATTGAGTTTAAAAATTAAATAATTTCAAGCAGCAAAATAAGATCTTACATAAAGTATACAAATTATTTATAAGGTAAGAGAAAAATTAAATAATTAACAAAAGATATTTTAATAACAAGAATAATAAATTGATATTAATACTGATAAATCGTGCAAACGACTATTTTATACGTAATTATTACTAAAACATTTAGATATAATGTGTTTGAACAATTAAGAAAATATTTTTCTATGATTATATTTGAATTAAGTTCAGTTAGTTTAAATTTGAAAGCATAACATAATTTTTTGAAAATATAGTCCAATTAAGAAAATAGAATGATAAAAATTATTTGAATTTGAGATGAGAAAGTTTTTAAAGTTTTATCTATATTATATTAGAATGAGTGTGGTAAAAATAGATACTAAATTCAAACAGGCTAATAAAAATTCACGTGACAATGTAATAATATTAGGTTTATATTTTAAGGTACATTCAAACAGGCTAATAAATATTTATTTCATAATTAAAAAAATTATATATTTATCTTATATTATTAAAGAAAAGTAGTCGATAATGATATTAAATAAATTTACAAGTTAACGAAAAGCCACATAAAATGTAGTAAGATTATATATTAGATTAAAAAATAGCAAAATTATGTTAAATTATTAGAAATTAAAAGAAAAAACTATTTGAATTTGATATTAGAAAGTTCTTAAAACTATGATGTGAATGCTCAAATTATGGATAATACCACGAAATCGAAGTCTTACTTATGAAAAATAAAACAATAATAAAAAATCAAAATTTTAAATTACAAAATAAATTTCTAATATAGGTAATTTTACAAAAATTAAATTTGTATCTTAAAACTAAAAAAGAAAGAAAATTTATGTAAAGAAATAAAATGACAGTGAAAATATTATTACAACATTTAGATATAATATGTTCAAACAATTAAGAAAATATTTTTTATTGATTAATATCTGAATCGAGTGCAGTTAGTTTGAGTTTGAATGCATAGCATAATTTTTTAAAAATGCAGTCCATTTTAGAAAATAGAATGATAAGAATTATTTGAATTTGAGATAAGATTATTTTTTAAAAAAAATATTACGTAAAGAACTAAAATGACAGTAAAAATATTACTACAATATTTAGAAGTAATGTGTTCAAACAATTAAGAATTTTTTTTCTATGATTAAATAAAATTTTAAAAATACAAAATAAATTTCTAATATTGGTAATCTTACTAATGAAAATTAAAAATTAAATTGTATCTTATAGCTAAAAAAGAAAGAAAATTTAACTGCATCTAATACAAATTTAATTATAAGAGAACTCAATGCATTTGGAACATGATAATCAAATAACTTGTGTATTAATATTTTAGACTAATTAAAAGTTACAATTTAAAACAAAATATGACATTATTTTGGCTCTAGGTAAAACATTAATATAAAAACTAATTAACATTTGTAGTAGGGAAGAAAATGTACATAAAAAAAATAGAGGTTGTGTGAGGATACTTATATTTTAAATTAATTTTAAAATATATAAAATAAAATAATTAAATTATATTTTAAAATATTATTGATAAATTTAAATAATTAAAATATTATGATTAAATATTAAATAATACAATTACTATAAGAAAAGAACAAAAAAAAGATTTATGTAAAAGTGATGTGATGAATAAGATATATTTGACTTCCAGATAAAAATAAAGTGATGATAAGAATTTTGTTAAGATAATATTATCTAATGTGCTCGAACAAGATATATCACAATATGGCATGTTTAGTATTCTTTAATATTGACAGCGGAACGAAATACAAGTACCAAAATCAAGGGGTTAGGTTGCTACAAATATATATTAAAAAGATTGGTTGTTTACTACGAGATTTGAACGATAATTTCATATCATATTTCATAATTAAATTCTCATGTTATATAATTTTTATCTGAGAGGTTTATATTTTAAGGTTATTTGTACATGATTCAAACAACCTACATCGCAATTTGAAATTATTTGTCTGCGCATCGCGCGGGTACTGATACTAGTTAGATTAAAAGGAGAGTAGTGAAGCATGAGGTTAAGCCAAGTGGCAAGCTAAAAAAAACCACTTGGCAATTTTAAGACAACATTAAAAATTCAAATTATAAATGGAAACATAATTAATGGAAGTAGTAGTTCGATAAGAGTTATTTTTTAATTATGATACAAATCTCTATTAGTACTATAATTTAGTTAATATTTTTTTGTATAATTATGGTAGGGACGAAATAAATTATGGTATGGATGAATTTCAATTAATTGATCAAACTTTGTAACTAACCTTAGTTTGGTACGATCTATATTATATTAAAAGGAAGGTAGTGAAACATGAGGTTAAGCCAAGTGTCAAGCTAAAAAAAAGCCACTTGGCAATTTTAAGACAACGTTAAAAATTTGAATTATAAATGGAAACATAATTAATGGAAGTAGTAGTTCAATAAGAATTATTTTTTAATTGTGATACAAATCTCTATTAGTAGTATAATTTAGTTAACATTTTTTTGTATAATTATGGTAGGGACGAATTTAATTAATTGATCAAGCTTTGTAACTGACCTTATATATTATATTAAAAGGAGAGTAGCGAAGCATGATATTAAGCCAAGTGGCAAGCTAAAAAAAGTCACTTGGCAATTTTAAGACAACATTAAAAATTTGAATTATAAATGGAAATATAATTAGTGGAAGTAGTAGTTCAACAAGAATTATTTTTTAATTATGACACAAATCTCTATTAGTAGTATAATCTATATCTATATTATATTAAAAGGAGAGTAGTGAAGCATGACATTAAGCCAAGTGGCAAGCTAAAAAAAAGCCACTTGGCAATTTTAAGATAATATTAAAAATTTGAATTATAAATGGAAACATAATTAATGAAATAGTAGTTCAATAAGAATTATTTTTTAATTATGATACAAATCTCTATTAGTAGTATAATTTAGTTAACATTTTTTTTAATAGTTATGGTAGGGCTGAAATAAATTATGGTAGAGACGAATTTTAATTAATTGATCACGCTTTGTAACTGACCTTATTTTGGTACAATATACATTACTGTATGTATCTTTAATTAAAATTTTATGCATAATTTAGTTATGGTAGGTATCCTTTTTTGAAAAATAATCAATTAAATTTTCGTTTTGTATCTTACACATTAATTTTAAGTTGAAATAGTAATTCTTTATTTAGTACAAACTTTGTATCTAACTTTATTTGGGTGCAATATAAATTACTGTAGGTATTTTTAATTAAAATTTTGTGTATAATTCAGTTATGGTAGGTTTCTGTTTTTAAGAAAGAATTAATTAAATTTTTATTTTGTATCTTACACATTAATTTTAAGTTGAAATAATAATTTTTTATTTAGTACAAGCTTTGTATCTGACCTTATTTGTGAACGATATACATTACTATAGGTACCTTTAATTAAATTTTGTGCATAATTCAATTATGATAGGAAAAATAATTAAATAGTTTTATTTATATATATATATATATATATATA